CAAAGTGATAAAATAAAATTTTCCTATTCTAAAACTAGAGCGCAGGATCTTCAGAATCCTTTAAATTAGCCAAAGCTACCTCAAAGCATCATAAAGTAGATAAATGTTTTACAATAGCTATATACTATAATAGACTCCTATAAATATAATAAACATTTTAAATTTCAACAAGTACAATATTGCCGAGTGGTATTCTTGATGTGTACATCGTGCAATTTTGTCAATACATCACTATGACATGCTTTTAGCATAGCCTATACTTTAACACTATTAAGATACACATAAAACATATTTAAGATTTCTAAAACATTGCTTAATTTTTTTTTATCAGTTAACATAATTGAACAATTATTAAATTTAGATGATAGTAACACCAAATAAAAGCTGCCTTTGAGGCCTCATTTCTAGTCAAAGCCTTGTCTGAAGAACCATCATAGTTTTGCGCAATGAAATATATAATATTTAGACTGACGATTCATTCATTAAAAGTGTACATCAATGCAAATCAGTTAGAGACGCCATCTTGGTTACACTAATCATTATTAAAATTTTAAACGAAGCCTAATTTATTCCTATACCTGATGTAAACTTTATTAAAGAATTATCGGATCATTGAGATAATAAGGAAGCAAGTTATCAATTTAATAGTAGTTTTTAACATGAGAATAATTACTATCTGTGTTACCAAAATGCGGATTCAGCTGATTTGCTTTTAACGACGCTTAAAAATGCATTTTTATGAATGAATCGTCAGTCTAGGTATTATATATGTCATTGGTTGTGCTTTTGCTCAACTAAGAATTACGAGAAGAAGATTCATGGAACTAAATTAACATATTATACATTTTTGATGTCTAGCTCACTCGTGTTAACTGTACAATATATACTAACCTATCTTTCAACCTGCTTTGAAAAGCTAAGAATTAAATTCTTATTGATTCTTTCACAACTAAATTTTTTATGGTTTCTAGGAGTATATTTATATTATATGACAGTAAATTATTATAATTTAGATTTTAATCACTTTTTTCAATAATAAATTTTCAAGAAAAACCTCCTTTTAAAATGATTTGTACCCCCGGTGTTGAATGCGCTGGTTGAGAATAATCACCATGGATAGTGATGAATTCACACTAGTGTCTGTGGCAGAGGAATAAAAAAGGCAGATATTGTTTGTTGTTATTTAATTTAATTGTTAATGAGTAAATGGATATTTTATTACTAACATTTTTATAAGTATTTTCTTGTTTAACCAATTAATTTGACTACATAAAATATTAATAACTAAAATTTTTATAAAATTTTGTTTTTTTTAAATAGATTTAATTGATTAAAATTCAATAAAAATATTTTTTCAAAATTTGATGGACGGAAAAATTATTGGGGCCCGTTTATGGGAACAAAAGTATTATCAAAGAGTAGGTTTGGAGGGCTAAAATATTTTTCCCGTGGCTACTAGGCTCAATTTATTTTAGAGATTTTAACACACTAATCTTTGCTTTATTGATTTGTCTGATTTAGGTAAATTGATTGATTATATCTGAAGCCTTACGGATTGGATAATTAAATATAACATCATACATCAAGCTGAGATTTGATAAGAATTTGCCAAGCCCGTTAAATTTTCCACAGTTGTTAGCGGAATTTTTGAAATGCGTTTCGTATACATGACAGGATTTTCAATGGATGTAAACCCCCCCTCAAAAACCTATGCCTACCCTTTAAATCGCCGCCTTCAGCGTCGATGTTTTCCCATAAATTACTTGTTTTTAATTATACTGTTCTCCTTTCACAAATTTTAAAAAGAATAACTTAAATTACTTTACCTCTACTACCAACTATCAAAATATTGTGAAATAAAAAAACAGTTATTTTTTAGATCATGAATTCAATTAAAAACCCCCTCATTTACAATGAATGCATTATTATAGTATATTTTTTGGAATGAATATGAGTTTGCTGAAAATGTATAACCCTTTTATCAGGGTTGGCAAATTTTCAGAAAATTGTATTTGGATACAGATACAGATACTTTATAAAATTTTGTATTTAAGATACAAGATACTAGATACTTTGGGAAAATTTCATATAAGATATAAGATACAAGATACTTGTATTTTTTTTAAAAAAATGTATCTAAGATACAAGATACTTTTTTAAAAAAACTTTAAATAGTCAAAATCAAAATGTATAAAGCTTTATTTTCTTATCTATAATATAAATTTATAAAAAATTTGAAAATAAATTGTAAAAAATAACAAATTTATTATATATTTTAATGCGATATTTATTTCAATAATTATATAATTAGTATATTAATATATCAGCATCATAAATCAGCATTGTTTTTTAATATTATTTATTTTTCAAATAATTTATCGTTCAATGTTTGACGATTTGGATTGTTAACCATATTAGCAAAGCTAAATAATCGTTCAACGGGGGCAGAGGAGGGTAATACTGTGTTATATTTAATAAATATTTCTTTTAATTAATTTTATAAAGAAAATTATATTTTAAGCATATATGTAAAAATTAAAAAAAATACCTATGGAAGGTGGATTAAATATTGCTAAGTACTATCTATCATAAAAAAATGGTGCCCCAAAAATTTGGATTATATTTTGGCCTAGTATTTAAATTAACAAGCTCTTTTTTATCAATATTAGATTTCTTATTCTTTTCATAGATTTTTTATATATCATTTTAATTTCATTATCAATCAATAATATAAAAATTTATTTAAAAATACTTTTAAATTTAGCAACAGATATATATGGAATATGAAATGATAATGAATATGATTATAAATGTGATATAATTATATATTATACTTTTAAATGCTTGACAAAATTTGATGACGAGTCCGCAGAACCACTTATAAATTTGTGGCATTCTTTAGATTCTGTAGTAATTTTATTATGATCATGTTGAAGTACTTGAAAAAATTTCCCATTTAAAATACTTAATTTAAATTTATAGTTATATTTTTTGGTTGGATAATCATCTGAAGACGAAGATAAACATATTATTCTATTTTCTTTAATAGACGGATATTAAACGATTCAAATAAAATATGGTAGTTCTAATTGTTAGCAAATTGCTATAGACCAACGTGGTATAACATACATTACCTTAAAATATCTAACTTCTGGTTAAATTTTTCATTTAAATTTTAATACTATTTAAATTTTAATACTATTTAAATTAACTAATATAAATATTTTTTAAAGTATCTGTATCTTTTTGAATACAAAGTTGGTTAAGATACAAATACTTTTAAATAATATGTATCTTAGATACTGGATACAAGATACTTTCCAAAATTTAATAAAAGATACAAGAGATACAAAAGTATCTTAGATACAAATATCCGCGATACTGCCCAACCCTGCCTTTTAATGTAATATAAAAGGATAGCAAAAGTTTTATTTGGAAAATAATATCTATGATTGTTTGCTATATATAGATTTGGTCGATCATCAGCAATCTCTTTGTATTATAATAGGTCTATAATAACAATATTAATTTTTACTGCAATAGACGCTGCTCGTAGTTGTTAGATTACTACCTATCGTGGATTAATTACACTTTCTATCTTCAGCAACTGAATACTTCAGTTGCTATTTGATCCAACATCTTTTGATTTTTGATAAACTGGCTATATAAACCACAACTTGCATAAATAAAGGCTTTACAGTGATCAACTTATGCATCATTGGACACAGTTAATTCTAAACTGTGATTTAAGCATGTAAGGGTATAATCGTCGAATATGGTGTTTTATATTATTTTTAAGCAGTAATTAAAAAAGGGATATCATTTGGATGCCCAAAATATTGTTTAATAATTTTGATACGCTCATAATATTTAATCTTAAGCATTAATTTTTGGCTAAGATTTTTTAAGTTAAAAAGAAGCATTTAAACTACAAAAGAAGTTATTAAGAGCGAAATTTTGACCAAAACAAAAAAAATAGCAGAAATATTTATTTTTTTTAAAACAATTTAATTCTTATTTAAAAAGTGATATATAAATATTTATTAACCCTTCTACTACTTCCTGTTCGGTTAAAAGAGCTGTGAGCAAAGTGAAAATAAACAAAACTCGAATGCGATATATAAGAAATTTTACAAAAATTAGTTTATAACTTTCAATTCAAATTTAACTATAATGAAAATTATTATATAACAGCCTGAATAACATTTTTTGAACAATCATGGATTTAACAAATAAATATCTTGCTTAAATGATTTTTTAATAGTTACTTTTTATCAAATTATTTTTTTTATTTCAATATAAAGTTTGCACTGTCATATTAATTCCAGGTTAACCCATTTATGCCCTACTTAATAAATGCTAATGATCAAAGTATATTCATCTCTAAATTAATTAAATTTAAATATTTTATGTCTTAGTAGCGAAATTTTAGTCTAAATACAAAACAAGTGCTTATTTTTATTTACTATATGAATTTAGATATATATCATCTAACTAAAGAATAATAAATATTTATTATAATAATAAATAAAAGAACTCCAAATCTTGGCAAAAATATAATCGGGATTTTCAAAGTAGTAACCATATAAGTAAAAATTTTGAATAAAGTAAAAAAAAATTGGAATAGAAAATAAATAAAATAAAAAGGTAAATAAAATAAAACTTAGAACCATCAATAGAAATAGTAACATAATAGTTAAAATTTCAGGAGACAAATTAAATTAAATATCAGTAGACAGCTTGAAAATTTTGAGGAGTAGAAAGGGTATTTATCGAATTTTCTCAGACTGCTTACAGTTTTTGAGATATTAAAAAATATTTAATTAATTTGAATCAATATTGGTGACGATAATGATTTAGTTTTATTTGGTCACTATGATATTATATTTTTATCTATAATAGAAGAATGCATTTTGAAAATAATATAAATTAAAATAGAGCAACGCTACCGATTTTCGATTATTTTTATTACGTTTTATTACCTACCACACATTTTTCTGGAGGATTTTAATATTTTTATGAAATTTATCGTTTGCTTCAATTCTGTGAAATTTAGATATTTTAAGTAATTTTGCATGATATAACATTACAACTGATATGATTTTATCATTTAATGTATAAAATTTTCATACATTATTAGTAATTTCTAGAATCGGGATTTAATTAACTTGATTAGTTTATTTTTTATTATAATATAGCATGATTTATCCAATTTTTTGGCATAAAATAAACAAATATAAATTATCACAAGGTAATATTTATAATTACTAAGTTTTATAGATTCTTACTATATATTGACATGTAGATAAAATTTTATTAATAAAATCTTATTGTTTATTAAATATGGATCATTCTGTTATATATCATAGTTGTTAAATTTGAAAGATATATAAACTAAATTATAAACCTTATTATCCTCTTTAATCTGAATATAATAATGGCCAGTAACCAATTTATGTTTCATTTATTTATTTGTCTATCATAATCATTAAATTAATTGCTTATTTAACTATTCATATTATTAACTTAAATTTTAATCATTCATAAAATTTAAATTTTAGATAGATTATTTTATACCAATTATATCATTGTGGTTTAGGAATGCCTTGGAAGTCAGGAATACTCACTAATTTTCTCACATTAATATGATTATTTTTGTTTCAAAAAATTTAATGATCAATATAAAATTAAATTTTTTTAAAAGAGTAAAAATAATATTGATTTATATATAATATCAATTTTTCCCATGTTACATAACATTTATTAAATTATTATTAGACCTATAGGCCTGGAACCTAACCCATAAATTTAGCCTTAACCAAAATTTGATATGATTTTAAAAATATGGGTTGGGTCTTTAAATATTTAAAATGATTAAAAATCTGTACCAGTTTTTTATTCATTTATTTATTCTATTCTACATATTTTGTTTTAATTTATTTAAAAAAAATTGACATCTTAATTTCAATCAAACAATCATAGTTCTAAAATATATTCTTTAAGATTTTCCAGCGAATTTGATAATAAATATTTCATTAAGAAAAGGCACATTCTACACTGACATAAATAATAGGTATCGATAGAATTGGATATATGTAAGAATTTTCTTTCCAGATTATCAAAATATTTTCATCTTTATTTTAAATTTTCAAAATCACAGTATCATTACTATCATCATTATTATCTATTACAATCATTTATCAAATAATATGGGGTAGACTTCAATGTTCTATAAATAATTAAGTGTTGTTATATTCTTTAAGATGATCTTTAGACATTTGTTTTTGCTCATTTCTCAACAGAACTTGATAACAGTTCAAATACAAAGAAGCATATAATACATTATTTTGTAAAATTTTCATATGTTCCTTAATATTATATATAAAAGTACCTTTTATTTGTTCTAAATTTGGCTAACCCATATGCTATAAAAACATAAACAAACACATTTGTTTTGATGGCAGTCATAAATAGGGCTGTGCTGATCCACAACCTTTTAACCAATCCAATATAATATTTCCTGATATTATTAAAAAACCGATATTTCTGATATTACTAAAAAAACTGATCCGATATTTATTTACCATCTATCTTTGAACCAATTTAAAAAATATCAAAATTTTCTATTTAAAAAAACAAACTAACCTTTACATGAATTTTATATTTTTATCTTCTGAAAGTTAATAATCTCTCAATTAAAATGTTTATGGGTGAATGTAGTGCTGTTAAAGAGCTCCATTTAGCCGATTTTTAAAAAGCGCTTAGTCAAGATTTTAGCTAAAATATTATTATCTAAGCCTCGAAATTTTGCCAATAGAAGTTCAAATCTTTCTTCCATATGTAGGCAAAATCCTTAAGTTTGAATAATTTACTTTTGGGCAAACTTTGAGTTAAATGCTTTTAAAAATTGGCTTCAATCTAAATCTGTACCCCTCTGATTTGATTTAAATCGCGATTTAGATCTAATTTTTTTCAAAAAAATCACAAATTTTGCTAACTCTCACTTCTAGATTACTATTCTAGAAACCTCTGATTATTATAATGCAGAATTAACATTCAGAATCACAGTTATCTTAGTTAAAATACTCCAACAAATGACCTTTTATTTTAATATTAAAAAAGTTTTTTAAGTTTATAATTAACCAACATAATTTGTCCTAATAAATTAAAAAAAAACATAGATCTACAATTTTTTAACAAATTTTCGGACTTCGTCGACCTCTAAGAACTGTTATTTATTGTGAAATCAGGTTAGAATGCAAATTATAACTGCCGGGTCGATGATCTTTAATTTTAATGTACAGAATGCATAATAAATGAATAAATAATTAATAATAATATCCTAGTAAACATACTTTACAGTTTTGGCAAATAAAGCCGGATATTGGTTTTAGTAAAAAAATGGCTGAAATATCGCACGAGATAAATTATATTTTTTAAAACTTTTTATACCTTATTAAATTTAAAAAAGTAATATAATTTTTCTTAGAAATTGAAAAATAATCTTTGGCATTAAATACGGAAGTAAAATATTTTCAGCAAATTTTTTTCAAACCCTCACGGTAATATTAAATGATAAAATAATGTACTAGGATGTTATTATGATAATTTTAATTATCCCGTATTTATTTAATTACTTTAAACTTTTTATTAAAAAAAATAGTTGAAAAATATATATTAGAATTATTCAAGCAGGTAAATAAATATTTTTAATTTAATAACAATAATTAAGATCTTGAATCTTTTGTTAATCCTAGTATCATTGTTAGCTTAAAGTCACGCGTTAAAAAAAATAAAATAATTTTGGGTTCACATAAGGCAAGATACATATTTTAAGTTATCAATTTTTATTTGTCCTTTATTTACTCAAAATTGGTTATATTTAAAAACAATCGAAAAACATTAAAGATAATATTAAAAATATTCAACTGTTTGTTTTATTCATTCGAATATTCTACGAATAATTCAATTATTTGAATCAAATTATTTAAATAATTCGAATTTATTTAAATAATTCGAATCAAATTATTCGGAATAATTTTTAATAAAATGCTTAATTAATAAAATTTTGTCATTTCTCCTAATCTGAAAGTAAATTTAATTAATATCCATGATAATTTCATTAATAATTTGATCGCATGTTTATCATTAGACTATTGTAATAATTTTTTCCTTAAAATTAGATGTGCAATAGAAAAAAATATTGAAAATATTGGATCAATTCGTTTTTTAAAAAAATATAAACTCGATCCGACATTTAAAAAAAACTAAATATCAGGTCCCATCCGATCCGATATATAATATAGGCACAGTACCAATCATAACGAGGAATGTACCGTCAAATACAGTTTCCATATAAAAAAATCAGGGGTCTCGCATTTCAGTTTACAAACCCTATTTAGAATTTATTTTTATTATTACGTTTTTAGGTAGACAAATTTTATTAAAGTCTAAATCCGTAGCCGTTACATTGCGCAGAGGCATCACCTTACTTGATACCTCAATTACTTTTCTCTTATGGGAATTTGTACCCTTCCCATTCTCTCCAACTTCAACAACGAGTACGCTAATCACGATATAGCAAATTACATGTACAACTCTTTCTTCTCGATTTAAAAAAAATTAAACTTCGCTTATTAATAATAATGATCAATAATACATACTAATAATGATTAGTCATTTATGAGAATGATCGACATGAATCTCTTTCCTCACCCATCCCCACCACCACCCATTGTTACCTTTAGATATCGGCCCAAACCGGTCCGTTAAGATTATAATAAGGGTTTTCCGGCTCTGCCCCCGGTGTCAAGCTAAAACAATTGGAAATGAAATTGATCCAGATAGGCCCGTTTAAAATATTACGGACCGGGCCCTGCAGATCTAATTCACGTGACTCGATGAGTAATCTCGGGTAGGGGTGCTTAGGGGAAAGACGCTTATTATTCCATTAAATAGAACGAAGTTTGTTTTACAATAGGAAAAAAAATGCATACATGATTATTATATTATAAATAATATTTATCGATAACCTATCTATTTAAAATGCACACTATTATTTTTTATTTTTGCATAACCAAAAAATAAATACCAGCGACTTATCGCAAAATATGCACGTTTAACAAAATCCTTAATGACCTTATTTCACGCACCATTTTTTTTTCTTTTTTTGCAAGAAAAACCTTAAATTCAGGCAATCCATAAATAAAGCGATTAGGTGGAAAAATTTATTTTTAAAAGATAGATAATCGCATTTCGTTAAAATTTATACTAATAATAATAAAAAAAATAATATCATTTTCATTTTGACAAATTCAACTTTGATACATTAATATTCTAATTATAAAAGTAAAAAAATTGCCTATTTCTGGCCCCTTCACATTTTTAACATCATATTAGTGGTTCTCTCTTTTACCATGGGTAATTACTATATTAAGCCAATTTTTAGACAACTAAAAAATGGGCTAAACCAAGTTCTCAGCCGAAAATGATCACTTTGGCTTCGGGGTTTTTCTTAAAAAGATGCAGCACATGAAAGAAACTAATATAAATTAAAACGCCTTAATTTTAACGGATTTTTTCCGGCAGGCGCCTGAAGATTGAGTCGACATTTAGTCATTACCCAACTATCCCTGAAGATTTTAACAAAGAAAAAATACCAAAATCTCGAGATTTTGTCAAAAGATATATATTTCATTTTTTTCCTCAACAAAAGATTTAATAAATATCTACCACACCTTGACTCATTACTGAAAGATTTTTGACCAAATTAGATAAATTTAATAAAATAAATATATGATTTTAAGATTTCGTTAACAATTTGATTTAATATATCGTATTGGGATATGTAATTTATTGTAATTCGGAGTCTTTCAATTTTAAATTTACTGATGGCGATTTATACCATTTAATGATTTGACCACATGTATAGACTACCTACGCTTGTAATTTTAGACAATTTTGTCTAGAACTAGTATTAAACGCCTCGATTTTTGAAAACGGTTGACTCAAGATTTTATCCAATAATATTACGCAAATCTGGTAATTTTGTTCATAGATTGGTAG